CAAACCTCAAAAGCAAACAATCATGGCGATCGAATCTATCTCCTTTCTGTCGGCGGCCGACGACGACGACGTCGAATCTCGGAGGGACGCCAAGCGGCCGAGGCAGACCTCCGGCGACCAAGACGACCACGCCGCCGCGTCCTGCCTCGTTCTGCTCGCCCGAGGCGGCGACGCCACGACCACCGGACGCGCCGCCGCCGCCGCAGGCAACAATTTACCCTACGCGTGCGACTTCTGCGGCAAGGCTTTCCCGTCTTACCAGGCCCTTGGCGGCCACAAGACCAGCCACCGGGCCAAACCGCCGTCCGCCGCCTCATCGGCGATTCAAGATTCGTCCACCTCCGGTAGCGGCTGTGTTCCCGGTCGGATTCCGGCTCTGAGGGTTCACCAGTGCCCGGTCTGCCACCGGATCTTCCCGACCGGTCAGGCCTTGGGCGGCCACATGCGCAAGCACTACGATGGGATGATTGGGAAAAACGCCGCCGCTAAACGTGGCACCAAGTGTATCTCCGAAGAAGGCAGCGGCGCTAGCGGCGTCACCTCCGGAGACGGGGGCAGCGATGATGTGGTGGCTCCTGTTTGCCTGAATTTCGACCTGAACCTACCGCCGCCGCCAGAGCATGGTGTTGGGCTCATTAGGTTTCTTTAAATAAATTGAATTGTTTTAGGGATTTGTTTTTCAATCTTGTGCTTTAGTTAGGGGGTGATTGTGTTGACTTGACCTTGTCGATTTCGTTGACAGTTATTTGTAATTATCTAATTACCCTTTTCTTGCTTTTGGCTTTTGCTTTTCTTGACCTTGATTATGCATTTATGTAACTCAATATAATGTACAGTTATTATTGCAGTATGCTTCTTTAATCTTTTTCAGATTTTTGTTATTTAATTATTATTGATTGAGACGCTATGATCAAAATTAAAGACGTGTGCACAAATTCGCCTAACAAACACATGCCACTAAGTTTATCCACGTAACTTTATCAAAGCACAATTTTATTTTGGGTAATACTAATTATTCGTTGATGTTAATTATAATAACTGCCAGTAAATAAATTATGAGAAAGACTGTTCATTGATGGGATTGATATTGCCGAATCTAGAATGACACGCTTCTCGTTCTGGAATAGGAAAATGACCGGCTTAAGTTTGATAAATAAAACTGGCATAGTTAGCTACCACGTGTTCAATGATTGGTCCTTTACTTTCTTAAATTGTTCTAGAACCTTACGGATCTTAGAAGTTCCAATTATTTTAATACCCGTGCCTCCGGTTCGACCGATTACACTGATAGCAATGGTATAATGACTGTTAAATACTCCTTTTATCAAAATATCAGTTTCATATCAATATTTACTGGTTGTATCAAAAAATACCGATCAAAATATCAGATATACATTATATTTACAATAAAGTAGTTTTTTTTATCAAAAATTTTACATAAATTGAAAGTTCAATACTTAATAAAAATATATTTACATTGTTATTAGATTTTAATTGATTTTTTTGTGTTTATTAAAGTTAGTTTAATACATTTTTATATAATAATAAATTAAATTAATATTTATTAAAAATTTAAAATCAATAAAATAAGTGGTAAAACCAATTGAACGGCATATCGGCGGCTTATGCAATTTGATTACAGATATAAAATACTGCGTTGAACTCTTTTATGCTTGAAACTTTTAAATCTTTGTCTAGGATATGGTATAGCTATACTTATATTTTACTTATAAATCATATTTAATTATCATCAGAAAAATATGAGTGAATTAACGGACTAGTGATTGTAATTTAAAAATTGCTATAGCTGTATAAAACTTGAATGACGAATAACAGATCTAAAATGTAGCAAGATCGTTATAAAGAAAGTATTTTACAATCAAGAACCACAAGACATTTATTTTATTTTGTGTTTAAAATGAATAGTATATTGTAATATATAAACATTATTATTCAATGGATATCCGAAATAGTGTTCACCATTCATAGAAGTAGGGCGGAATCTTTCCTATCTTATCTTACTAAAATAACTACTACTCAATCTTGTGGATAACAGACCTAGTTTATCGAGCTCCCATGAACTAATTGCTGGTAAACTCCCATGAACTGGGAACGATTAAGACATTAATAAACAATTAGGCTCAATATTAAAAATAATAAAAAAATGGATGAAAACAACAAAGTAAAAGAAAAGCCTACAAGGTCGAGGTAGATGATAACGGATGGTCATAGAATCAGACAAACGGAATCCAAGAGAGGTGGACAGCTGGAGACTTAAATAATCGAATTAATCACCACTCAGAGGTAGTTTTTAGAGTTCTTGGTGACTTTGGTCTTGAATCTTGAACACCATTTAATCAATAGATTTTGGAGATCGGCATCCATTCTTGTCCCAACACCTCCCCAAACTAGCATATGGCTCACATCCCCAAGTGATGAGCCTCTTACCTCATACACTTCATTGAACCCTATCCTTTTGTAAAATCTCACCAGCTGCAAACATTCATTAAATCATCTAATACATAAAAATAATCGAGTAAAATGCAATTTTAGTCATGTATGTTTCACTACCTTAACTTTTTCGTCCTCTTCGAATTGCGTTTTTTATTTTGTCCCGTATGTTTGCAAAAAGGATACAAAAAGGTCCTTTATGTTTTGCAAAAAAAGGTTACAATTCCGTCCCTTATGTATGAAAATGGCCTTTTTGTAACTTATTTGCAAACATACGGACGAAAATAAAAAACGCAATTCGAAGACGACGAAAAAGTTAAGGTAGTGAAACATACAGGACTAAAATTGTAATTTACTCAAAATAATCACACATTTGCACTACTATGTTTGACTAAACTAAGAGTTTATTGTGACCATTCTTATTCTGAGTGAACAGAAAACCACGCGTCATTAACACAAGATTGTACCTTAGAGTGGTAAAGATCGGTATCATTTATGGCAAGCAACTCGGCCTTGTTACAACCACATTCATATCCATGCCTAATTGCAACAGCACCGATGAACAAACCAATCCCAAATATCGATTTCTTCAACCCAATTGTCTCCCTTTGCAGCCTCATGGAATCCAAATGCAATATTTTACCCCCAAACCAATACCTAACCAACCCCTCAGCCCGGCCCAATTCCTTCTCGGTTGTCAAGCTTCTGGCTATAATCCTGAAAAAGGGCCCGAATGTTTTGAGCTGAATTTCAAGATTCTGCTCTCTGGATGCGTTCATGATATCAGACATTGTGGGCAAGGAAATTTCGAGATTTTCGACAGGTCGGTTTTGTTGGCTGACACTTGATTTGAAATGGTTTTTTGGTTTAGCTACATTCAAAGTACGTGTTTTGGTGGGAAGTAACTTGTTTGGGGTTTTAATTGGTTTTTCTAGATGCATATAGGAAGAAGGTGGACTTTTGATAGCCTTGGATAACTCCATGAATAAGAACCAAATAGCTCTGAGCAAAGCCAAGTTAGTAGGTTCTGAAAAGAACAACAAGCCGCTGTATATTAGTTGCTGCAGAACCGAACAACAGCACGGCAGCTAACAGCCATTATTTAAAGATAACCTATACTATAAAACTTATTCTGAAGTAATGCTTGCTCCTAAAAATGCAAAGACGCGTATCTACAACTCTTATGTAGACTACAAACACCGACGAGCATGTGAACAGGATAAAAATGGTTCAAAAATTCATCATCAGTTCAGTGGTGTTGCTAATTTGACCGAAGAAGCCAAGTGTTGTATTCGTATTATACGCATAACTTTTTCAAGGAGACGTACTTCTAATGTTTAGTATTTTGCGCTAAACACATCTAAGACGCCCAACAAGAACTACCAAACACGAAAACATCAAGTTTCAAACAAAAGCCCCATCAATTCCTTAAATTAACCGTATACAGTCTCAACCTAGCTATCAAACTATTTATTATCAAGTCAATAACAATAATAATTCCTTCAATTTCTATCTATATTACAGAAGATTAAATTCCTCACCTTAGGTATCCACAGAGTGATAGACAAAGCCACGGTAGAGTATCTCGGCAGCCCCTGGGCGGCTCCGATGAATGCACGATGGTGTCCGAGTCTAATTAACTAATTACGACGGCATAACCCAAGAGAAGATCGAGAAAAGAAGTCGAGCGGTTATCGGAAACGGAAGATTGAGAAGTGAGCCAGAAAGAACTGTGTTTATCTTTTAACGCGTACGTGTCGCGAGGAGCGCGCGAGCGAGATAAATGGAGAGAGGGACGCCGATTGAAGTAAATCTCCAACTCCAAATCACCTATTTTCCAAGATTCTATTGATGTAAAATATTATTATTTTGTTTGGATTTTTTTGGTATGATATGATTAATTTCAGAGTTCGCGACATTTTGAGTTTATATTAAAATAATATTTAAAATAAAATAATTAAAATTGATTTGATGTAAAAGTATAAGAGGTGATATAAAGTGATGGTTAGTTCAAATTATATAAATAGATAAATAGTAAATTAAAGTAACGTGTAAAAATGATTGAGTGGTTTGCACCAAAAAAAAAATGATTGAGTGGTAGGGTTGAATTAAAAAAATAATTAATTAAAAATAATTGAATTTTTTTAGAGATATTTGTATCTAAGCATCCCCTAAAAAAAATCTTCATTATTCCACATATGATCGAATTCCAATCACATAATGTTGTCCTTTCATAATCTACATATATATATATATATAATTACTAGCTGATGCATTTAATAAAACCTATTTTCATTTTCCTCCAAAAAGAGGTACAATTTTTTTAATTAATTACTCACTAATATGCTAAAACCGATACACCTTAATATATATTTTTATTATTTATTTTTTAGTTCAGTTACTAAATTAATTCTAAATTTGATAGCAAAATTTTCAAATGTGTAACAGCTAATGTTGGAACTTAAAGTTAATTGAGACATTCAGAGCTGTAACCGTTATATTTGGTTGCATTGTTGGAAGAAAAATATGATTGACACATATTTTTTTTTCTAAAAAACAGAAACACCAATAATTCTTTTTATTTATGTTAATTTGCTTAGTATATGCCACAATTATATAAATTATTAATGTTACTAGTGTAAACGTTGCATGGTTAAAATAAAATTTAAATCTCAATTAATTTTGAAAACTTAAAAAAAGTAATAATTTTTGTATGATAGAAGTACATGTCTAATTAATAAATACAAACAAAAACGTGTTTTATATTTGTGCAAATGCACAGGATCAAATACTAGTATATATAATTGTTGGCTCATGAGCATTTAATAAAACTTATTAAATTATACCTATGTGACAATGTAACTTTTTTCCTCCAAAAACCGTTACTTTTATTTATTTAACCTCTCATTTAATTATTAGATTCTCAACACACTAATCACTTCAAAATTACAAAAATCATTTTAAACTTTTGATTTACTTACAACTGACCATATAATGTGTTGACAATTTAACGTGATTAGATGCTATTGTTGTGGTTACATTTAAATTAATTTCTTTTGGGAAAAAAAAAACGTATTTGAAATTCCTAAATAAGTAATAAATAATTCACAAAAAAGTACATACCAAAATATACATTACATCCAATATGATAAACGCAATTTAAAAAAATAAATATTCCAGCTCCTTTAAATGTAAATTTAGCCTGAAAAAAAAAATGCAAGAAAAATAATTAATCATTATATGCATACAAATAACTCAGAATACTTTATTTACATCTGTGCAAATGGACAGGTGGAATAAAT